GGAGGAAATATTATTGTAAAAAAACATTCCACTGAAGAAGCCGTAAAAGGCGAAACGTTTGGAAAATATACTTTGTGTATTTTTATGTCTGAAGAAATCCCAAAGCCAAGTTCATACACTATCCAGACATGGTACCTCACACCCATTCATATATATATATATATATATATATATATATATATATATATATATATATATATATATATATATATATATATATATATATATATATATATATATATATATATAACAATTCAAGTTTTCTTGATATAATATAGAGTGCTCAATACTTTATTGTAGAGCTAAATATATTTAATTATTTAAATAAAGTACAAAACAAACGTTGTTACTCAGAGTTTCATGCCTGAGTTTACAGACAATCTTCGGACAACTAAAGTTCTGTTAACTAAATTTGACGGTTTAGATAACCGTCAAATCAGTTTAGTTAACAGAACTTTAGTTGTCCGAAGATTGTCTGTAAACTCAGGCATGAAACTCTGAGTAACAACGTTTGTTTTGTACTTTATTTAAATAATTAAATATATATATATATATATATATATATATATATATATATATATATATATATATATATATATATATATATATATATATATATATATATATAATTATTTAAACATTTTAAATAATTATTATATTACATTATTAATTATTATATTATCATTTTAAATAATTATTATTATTACATTATTTTATTACATTTAACGCAAGAGCTCAAAGCTCATCTACAGTATATCCACTTGTTGCAAGATATTCAAAACTTCCATACGTTTCCGGCAAGGCGCCTGACAGGGGTAAGCATTGAAGAAAGCAGAGCAGCAAAGAGAGGGCAAAATAATCAGTTACATCTTCACTAAGTGCACCACAGGTACAAGATGGAGATGGAAAACAGTTCATTGAAAAGAGACAATAATTAAGACCGTAATTGTTTAATCTTAATCTTGTATGTAAGGCCGAAAAATACGGGTCACCCAAATAAACCAATCTATTGACAGGAGGTATATAAAATCGTTCACGTAATAAAGCAGTTTTAACGAGAACGAATGTGGCAGATTCTCTCGTGGATTGAGAAAGATTATTTCATAAAAAAATTGTAGAATACAAAAAGGATTTTTTTGCTTTCTCGGTGCGAATGAGAGGTAAACCTAAATCATTCCTAGTCCGAAGCCTATATACAGTATTTCAGTTGCGGAAATTCACTTTTTCTGCTGGGGGGGACAAAGCCTCCTAAATTTCCGACAAAACTTTCAAATTTCCGACATACCCTCCCCCATTTACACTCGAAAAGACTGTTTTTACCCTCGTTTAGGTCAAAATTTTCGAAAATTTGTCAATTTTACTTCCGTGGAAAGGTGGGGAGGAAACGGCCGCCGCTTTGGTTTACGCAAACAGGACGAAGATCCAACAAATAATTTGGAGCTAAACCTTTAACCGTTTTCTACAACAATAACAACTTATGTATTTTCCTCCGGTTATTTAACGTATGCAGCCGGCTATAACACTTTCTCTGTGTGCACCTTTCATTGCTCCAGAAATTATTTTGCTTCACCATACTGAACACTTTCGAGCAGGTCCGATTCACCTATTGTACACTCATCCCAGACAACATTAGCGTATTCCATCTTGGTGCGAAACGAACCGTTAGCAATATTCTGCGCTATAGCTAACGGTTCGTTTGATTCTGTATGCGTGACGTTCGTGTCTTGACGAAGCCTCTCATGCCTAATCTATACACGTGTGTTTCCATGAATTCTGGAAACAAATACTGACAGGTAGCAACTACATTTAATTTCAGTTTACTGGAGTGATATTTGTCGACGAAGCAACGAAAGAAAAAGCAGCATTTAACAAGAGTGGTCCAGCTGTAACTTTTTCTGGTAATTATAATAAGAAGGCCGATGCATTTGGCTTGTGGACCGCACAGGGTGTTGCGTCAACAGATTTTGAATATCAAATGTTAATTTGTGATACAGATTTCTACAAGGGCCTCCATTTTTCTGGGTATACAGCTGACTGCTACAAACTTTGTGCTAACTGGTGTAATGACAGATCTTCTCCATACTTTCGCTCATCTGCAGTCTCCAGTGCGAATTTCCAAGGCGTTGCTTTCAACGAAAATGGTCGTACACCGACGTCAAAGCGTGTCATTCGTGCAGGAATTCGTTAACTACTGAACTGAAACGAGAAAAGAACGCCGCAAAACTTTCGAGTAATTTAACTGACAAATCGCAGCAGAGGAGGCAAATTAACGTGAACTAAATTTTAAGTTTAAGTCCATCCATTTGTTAATAACTACACCTATTCAAATTTAGTACAGCTTTGTAGTACGGCGAATTTCGAATTTAGTACGGCGAATTTCGAATTGCTAGATCAACACTCTACCAACTGAGCTACACAGTCAGACGGATTTAAGACTGGAAATTATGAAATATATACTATAACATTCAAGTAGAGTTTGACTTTTCGTATAAAACAACTCGTAACTGTCTGCATTATATTTATAATTTTATTGGATTCAGCAGATAAAAAACTACATGTGAACTGAGTTGAATGACAGGGTTTACGTAAGTTTCAGTGACAATTCAGGAGTGCCTTCAAGACAGTATAAAATATAATTTCAGTCCGTGACACTGTTGTTG